TAAAATATTATAAATGTATTCTATATAAAATATCAAAATAGTTTACAAGTAGGATTTATCATAACAAAACATTTTTCTGCCCCAAAGCACCTAGTTCCAGATATGATTGTGAAATCTCTCAGAGGACATGTTCCTTAGAGTTCCCAAGTATTTCTTACTATGTGTTAAGAAATCTTCAGGTTGTAATAAATCGTACTCCGTATATTTCTGGAAGTGATCAACGCTTTATAGCCATGGGGCAACTCTGATCTCCCTTTTTTGTTAACAGTCCTTTAGATTTGCCTTGCTTTCTTTCCAGATTAAAAGGTCCACTGTAATAGTCTGAGAAGTCTTGCTAGACTTCACTTAAGTCTTCAGTTTGCAAATTCTTCCTCAGAAAAAGTGGTGAGGAAGAGTTGAATTTGTTGGCAAGAACCCAGTCAGAAGCATCAAAGTATCACAAGATTTTCTCCGTTGATGGAGCTATTGCAAAATGCACGTTTGAAAAGTGGGCAAATTAATCATAAAACATAATAACATGAACTCTCCTTTTGTTTGATATCATTTTTTAATACATCGTTAACATTACCATGCGTTCATCCAATCACATTATTTCTGTACAGAACAGTGTCAGTCTCTTTCAGCCATTGTAGTTCATATAAACTAATAGGAAGTTGTTGATTTTTCTTTAAATTTTTTGGTCTCAGAAATAAGGAGGGCTGGCAGTGATATCTCCCTGAAAGCTATTGTTAGTAGCTGATTAAGAATACTTAGTGTTCCTTATGAGAGAGAAAAAAATATATATGATACAATATACAATCCAAAAACAAATATCAGTTGGCATTTATTCAAAATTTCCCATATGAAAAATTACAAGCAAGAGACATTTTGGGGGAAAAAATTAGAATGTATTAATTTGTACCTATTGAACTAGGTTTCCTTTCATGATGATTTTTATTCTGAGATGTTAACTCTAAGAATACCCAAGCAAATACGAAATACACAGCATGCATCATTCGGAGACCCAAGTTTGCTGAGAGAGAAATGAGTACAGTTGTAAAAATAAACAACCTTGTTTCTACAGCCATGAAAGAAGGGAACTGATCAATAAACATAATGTATGACAAATGGCTTTTATATGCTTTTTGACACAGTTAGTTATTCTTGAAAAAAGTGTCATTTTTGTCCATCAGCACACTGCAAGCATATGCATAAAAGGAGAGTGGCTGGTGGTTTCCAAATTGAACATCCCTGGTATAATCATTCGTATGTATGATCTTAACAGCACTTTTACTTTATCTAGAGGAGACACTAACTGCTGAAAAAATATTTATAATATAACATTACTATTTCCTCTTAAGGCCAAAATGCAAACCTTTATTTTTTCCTTCTGTTTTTTGTTTTGATGCACTTTTGTGCTGTTTTGCTTTTGTAAAATAAAATAAATTCTGTTTACTGAAATATCATATGATAAATCAGTCTTGATCTTGATGGCTCATTGGAAATATTTTCCAAGTCCATCCCCGTATGAATAAACAGTGTCTTGGATAGTAAGTACATGGGTGTAAAAGGAGGAGGTTTACAGCCTGCTTTACATTGGTATTGAGCAATTGTGAGATCGTATGACTAGGTAGAACCATTTCCTGTTCTTTCAGTACAGCACGCACATAGAGTTACCATGAAGAACTCAGCCTTTTCTGGCCTTTTTCATTCCTTGCACAGCCTTCTTTCCCATTCCTTAATTCTTTTGGTAGCAGTTTAGAGCACTTGCTATGTTAAGTTCTGTGGAACAATTTAGGAATTTACTCCTGCAAGGCATGTGAGTGTTTTGTTTCGAAACAAATGAAGAATCTGAGATCCATACGGTGATTTGCCCAAAACAATACAAGGCTGAACGGTGGTTCCTACCCTAAGCCAACAGAATTTGAATATCTTAAAGGTTCTTTACGTTTTATTTAGATTGGAGGTAGAATCGGAGGTTTTCAGCAACTCTCTCAGGTGAGCTGACAGTAGTTTTGCATTTCCAAGCAATATATTGTAATCTTATTCTTTGGGCACATAAATTATTTCCTCTTTGAGATTTGTTTGTTTACATTTCTTTAAAGTACTTCAGCTCTTTGCCTATATTACTGGAGAAAATCATCTTTCTCTTACTTGCCTAAGTACAGTTTTAATAAAAATTTGAAGAGCTCATGACAAAAGGTGACATGAAAAAGCCATTCAAATATGCTTTTTTAGGTGCAACTATAGCTATAGTAATTGCTTGTCATCTTCTTCAGCCATCAGGTTTGGGCGAATGCCACAAGCGGAGAAGGAGAAGCTCTTGGCAGAGATTTCCAGCGACATCGACCAGTTAAACCCTGAATCTGCTGATCTACGAGCACTTGCCAAGCATTTGTATGACTCATACATAAAGTCCTTCCCTCTGACCAAAGCCAAGGCGAGGGCGATCTTGACAGGAAAGACGACAGACAAATCAGTTAGTTCCCTCTGTTGTTTGGTTTTTTTTTTTTTTCTTTTGAGTAAATGATTTACACGTTGACAACACATCTTTTAAAAAAAAAAACTTTGCTGCTGGCAGTTACATATTTCAAGCTGTGTCTGAAAGACAGGAAATGTTTTTAGATAGGATAAGTAAACATTATTTGAAAAAACTCCAAGTTCACCTAATAAAATACTTGAAACCAGTACAAGAATTTGAAGGTCATCTTAACCTTTTTGTATTCTCTGATCCACTCTTCCCGTTTTCCTTCTCCTTCACCAGAGGTTATCTTCCACACTATCTGTTTAAGGTGGCTATCTAGCTGTCAGGAATCGGTAGCTATGTATAATGTAGCACATTATCGTAGCATATTATCAGTGCTACCTGTATCCAAAGGAATATTCTTCTTCATTAAGTGTCCAATGATTCCCAGGCCCCACACCATCGCGAGCTTTAACTATGATGCTTATTCTTATGATGCTCTGATGACTTCCTGCATTTAACTGGGTTATCTTGGATCAGATCAGTATCCTCTGTTGGAAAAATTTGGAAAATTTGAATTTTAGGAGAATGTACCAGCAAATCTTTGAAAAGTAAGGAATAGAAATGTGTGTATTTGTGGGTTTCTTTAGAAACTTCACTGGCAATACATAACAATCTTCTGTATTGGTGAAAAAGAGGATAAATAAGATCTGATAATTATGGCAGGTTTTAAATTTTGTCTCTAATACCTGAAGAGTAAAATAGTTTACCAAAACTTATGACTCTTAGTTTGATATATTTTCTGGAATGATCAGCAGAAATTTTATTTTCAGGAATACAAAAGAGACTGTATTTTATTTTCTTTAATAATTTCAAAGACAGGAAAGAATTTGGAGGGGTTTAAGCTTTCTTTCTTTAAAGGCAGTTAAAATCATAATTTAAATATTGTCCCTAATTTGGTTGTACTGCTCACATATAAACTCTGGATTATTATGGACTCTTACAATTTGAGTAATTTCTCATCATGGAGTATAAAGTTTGAACTAGCATAGTTTATTTATTCTGCAGAAAGCAGTTCCCTCTCTATATCAGAAAGATAGGTTACTGGGAAAGAATTAATACAGCAATTTAGATTTGTGTAAGTGTGTTCTTAATAATTGCACACCTGCATTGGGAAACAGAAGAATTATGTCTCTTGTTTACTCCTCTTCAACCTAAAAATGTCACCAGGAGGCCTGCTCCTTTTCTCTGCAGCTGCCCTCTGCGCACACTCTGGAAGGTAACAGAAGTTTGGGCAGGTTTACCTACGGTGCTCTCATCTTCCGTTTTTCCAGACGTGCGTTTAGAAATCTGAGAAGTTTGTTTCTGAGATCCCAAGTGTATCCACAATTCCTACTTTTGTTCTGTAAGGTTCTGTGAAGTTGTCATAGAAATAATTGGCGTGTGGTTTGCTGCTCTGCTGTGCTGGGTATTTAACAAACGTCTGGGCTTACACAACTTTTTCATGTCTGACAGTTACATTAATGCAGTACTTGTGCAGTAAATATATAGTATGCTATCAATGATGTTCTACCTTTTAACTGAAAGTTTTAAAACTTTGCCAGATTAGAATATAGCAATAAAACAATAGACGTAGAATTCAGCTTTTCATTGCTGCGAATTTTCGAGTCTTTTAAAAGAAATAACACCGAAAGAGTGACGCTCAGTATTTAATGGTTACAACTTTTATGTTATTTGAACTGTAATGGACTTTGTGCTCTGGAACATCAACTGTTTACTATGGGCATAGTTTAAATTTATGTTATTTTTTAATTGCTATATCATCTGCCTTAACTGAAAATTATTGGATGTGCTAACTGAATGTGTCAAAACTCAAATGATAAACTTATCCTTTTCTGGGATATACAGGGCTCATTGGACATAAGATTCTACTCACAGAGTTCACCTCAATTTTTATATTAAAAATTTCTTTAGCTATTTTGAACTCTCTTGATTTTCGTCTTCTAATATCAGTAGGCTGGTGGCATAGTGTAGTCTTTCTAAAGCACATGTACATGCACAGAATAGGAGACTTTTGTTTGTACTTGGTGCTCCCATTTAAGATTTTCTAGAATGAAAAGAAAGGAATGACCTACCAGTACTGAACCACGCCTTTTAAGCCTCCTCTACAGTCTTGTTATTCCACTGCTTTGCATATGCATGCATATACATATGTACAGATATATACAAAATGTTTTTTCTGCTGCCAAAATAGCATTACATCTTGAAAAATACCTTATCCTCCTGGCTTTTCTCAGTGTGGTGTGTTTATTTTTTCAGTTTCACACTGAAATCCTAGTGCAAGTAGAAAAACAGCATCATACCTCACACTCTATATAAGTGAATCTCATGGTCTGGAGCTGTGTTTTGCCTGTGGTTACGGTGAAAGTGACGGCATGAGTTTCATTGCTTTCATCAATTTAACTAAACCATTTGGAAAGCTGGAATCCTCTTGTGCAGATATTACTATTTCGGTTCACAGATAGACCTCTGCTTTCCAAGCAGCTGTATCAGTTAAAGACAAAAGTGTCAGCTGTCACCCCCTCGCCTTCCTCGTGATAGCAGGTCAGAGCGTTGTGTTCGACTTAGCCTGAAACACTTTCACAATCTCCATCTGCAGGACTATGGATGGGAGTAGTAACTAGTGATAAGCATCTGTGGGCAATATCCTCTTCAGAAAGCACCACCAGACTCTGAGGAAAGTAGCTATTTCCAGTTTTTAAAATTCCATTATAATTCAGCACTGAATAGACTCCAAAACTGGTTTGAACACTCATATGAATAAGGCATTAGAATCTGTAATCATAAAGGATCTTAAATGGAAAAATGCATTTCTCTAGTCCAATAGTTGGTGTATAATTCCTTGTATTTTAGTTAATTAATCCAGTATGTTAACAAACCTATTAATATCAGTAGATATTTGTTCAGTGCAGGAATGAACTATTTCTTCTGAATGATTCTTCAGATAAATACAAGAAATCCTTATTTAACCACTTCTTTAAAATCAGGAGCTTCTTCAGCATATTCTGAAACAGATTGTTTCCAGATCCTAACGAAAGTTTTCCTGGCATTATTTTTTCTAATATGCTTTCAAAATTGATTTATTCCAGTTGAGTTTATTTCACAGTCAGACTCATTTTTGTGTTCTGAATCGTGCTGCTGTAGTTTGTATCCTGTTATTTATGTTTGCTTTCCCGTTAACAAGTTGAGCTTAAATATATCCTATTTTTTTTTAAAGAAGTTAACAGCAAAATGTTAAATTTATCAGATAATCAATACCATAAAGTTGATACTACTTGCAGCACTTTCTAAAGGATAGAACTTGAAAAGAACATGACAGCATGTGAAGTAATCAAAATGTGAATATACTCTTTCTCTACAAAAGAACTTGTATCATCAGAAGTGCAAACATGTCACTGTACACTCACTAGATTCTGTTTTATACAAGACAGTAAAATTCAGGTAAAAGGAGTAACATTTTAATCTTTTGTTAATAAGCATTCCAAACTTTGAATTCTGGTATTACAGAACTTCTGCAAAACAAAACAAAACAAAAACAGCCAAAAAAGGCAAAAATCATGGCTATTTTAAAATAGTGTTCCTTACCCCCCCTCCCCTAATTATTAAAAAAAGTATCAGCCAAAATCCTATTTTTAGAATGTAGATTCATGGAACATGTGAGAAGTCCTTAGGAACTACTTGTCCTTTCTGTAAATCATTTTAACATTGTGAGGATATTTGCCTTAATAGGTTTGTGAAGATTTAACCCTTTTGGGTCAACTACCCTTGAGATATTCCTCATAGATTTCTAAGTGTTTTCTGCTGAGTTATGCCTCTGTAGTCAAACGTTCATAGAAAGGACTTTTGAAAGTAAATTGTCTTTTCCTTTTCAGCCATTTGTTATATATGACATGAACTCTTTAATGATGGGAGAAGATCAGATCAAGTGCAAGCATGTGTCACCACTGCAGGAGGAGAACAAAGAGGTAGCAATTCGCATTTTCCAGCGATGCCAGTTTCGCTCCGTGGAGGCAGTGCAGGAGATTACGGAATTTGCCAAGAACATTCCAGGTTTTGTGAATCTTGACCTGAATGATCAAGTAACTCTCCTGAAATATGGGGTCCATGAGATCATATATACTCTCCTGGCTTCTCTGATGAATAAAGATGGAGTTCTTATATCTGATGGACAAGGCTTCATGACACGGGAGTTTCTGAAGAGCCTGAGAAAACCTTTTTGTGACTTTATGGAGCCCAAGTTTGAGTTTGCTGTGAAGTTCAATGCACTGGAATTAGATGACAGTGACCTGGCAATATTTATAGCTGTCATTATACTAAGTGGAGGTAAGTGCTGTCTTATTTAATATGATACTTTACAGAATAGAATTGACACTTTTAATTCCTGTCTGAACAGGAAAGTGCTCAGCACTACAGGATGGGAGTGAGTTTATTTACACGTACTTTTTTATTCGTTTTCAGCTTTCTTGATGTTGTTTGCCTTTTTTTCAGTTTCAGACAGAAACTGAAAATGTAAATGACCTGATATTAATGATGGAGCTGGAAATGCCTGCTGAATCAGCAGTTCATTTAGTTAGAAAACAAAATCAGGACTATCTGAAAACAGGAAGGGTGGAATTTCACTGGCAAGAGCTTCTAAAAGTTAAAATTCTGCATGAGGATTTTTTAAACCTGCAATTAGATTGTGTGGCTTGCTAATCGTACACAAATAGCTTTGACTCCATAACAATTTCAAAATATATGTGGCCTTTGGCTTACAGGATTTTATGGTGGGGGTTTTTTATTGTTGCTGTTGTTTTTTCATTCATGCAAGGTTTTGTTTGCCTTTTGAAAGAGGGGGAAAGAAGAATGCATTTCTCAGGAAAACGATGGTCTCCTAATGCCTGAGAAAAACTGGCATTGTATGTCTACTCTGTTCAGATTTCCTAAGCTGCTCTGTTTGTATTAATGTTTATGCATTATGCTTTGAGCAAAGCATGAATCTAAAAGCCCAGGTATCAGACTACATGCTAACACTTCATTAAAAAAGACACTGAATTTGCAGCTTTTTTGAAGACAGTCAGTGTGTTCTATCTGATTCTGAGGTGATGTAGCTATTATATTTTGTGAATTAGCAGCTGCTACACAGATTTAGTTCACTTAGAAACCTTTCCACCGAGAATCTTAGCTATCAGATATACATTTCAGGTCAGATTGAAAGTCTTTTACGTTGGCCAATACTATCAAGTTAGTGATCTCGCACAAAGAAAATTTTACCCAACCGATCTGTGTGTATTTTGGCTTAGAATGGTACTGTAGATATCAATGGGAGGAATGTGCTGAATGTTCTGAATTCAGATCCTCCACAGAGCAATGCAGAGTATTTTGTTATTAAATTATGTTTAAGCAATCAAACACAACAACCACATGCTATTGTTCTAAAAGCAAACATTCTGTTGAGAGTGCATTGTTATGTATAGGTTCATTTAAAATCCCGTACAACTACTCCTGGCATTGTGTTTCATTCAGTAAAAATGTGGTATCGCAATATGGTTTATTAGACTAACTAAATCCACTTCAAACAAGTACAGTTTCCAGGAGACATTTTCTTGTGCAAACCTCTGAACACAATGATCCCTGAGGACTCTGAATTAATTCAGGAAGGGAAAATATGTTACTGGTATATTTTTGCTTGGCTTTGATGAGGGAGGAAAAATTATAGAAGCCTATTAGGGCACTACACAAAACATGCCAATATTTTGCATTTTCTAATATAAGGAAATTTGACAGATGAGAAACAGCCCTCTCAAAATCCACTCCTAATTGAAAAAAGGGAACTTGCAATCTGCAAAGCTAGGTCTGCTATGCTTCAGTGATGTTTGGTTTACATTAGAGGAAATAGGTATGATGTAACTAATCTTACATTTTGGGTCTCAGGAGGACAATGATCCACAGAAAAAAATTGGCTATACTGAACCAGATTTATCAACAAGTCTTTTAAGAATAATTTGTAAACAGAGATCTGTGAAGAACTACCTGAATTTTAATAGGTAGTTCTTAAATAACTCTGAACCAAATCCATATAAATCCATACAAATATAAATCAGTCCTTTCTGGAAAAATCCTTAGGCGGAACTTCCTTCCTCCCCCCATCCCACAAAAAAAGCATGATAGTTATTTGTAAAAACTGAATTTATATCTTGAAAACAATTAAGCTTTGCTGCCAATTAAAGAGTGGCTTTTATCATGGAATTTAGCATCAGATATGATATATATTGAGCTGTAGGCATTCTATGGGACTATAATATCTTATGTGGTATGGAGCTGAAATCTTGTTTCTCAGATGCTCTTGTTTCTGTAAGAGCTCGGTCCTTAAAGAACTTAATTTCTGTAAGAACTAAATGAATACCAAACCAGGATAATTTCATTAAAAATAGGATATCAAAACCATATTTTTTTGGTCCTCATATTACCTTGAGGACTTTACTAGCTGCAGGAATACTGTAATATTTAAGTCACTTCAAGAAATCCTGTGTACAAATATCTTAATAAGAACACCAGTTTGTGAAACAAAAAAAAAGATCCCAGCCAAATGCTCTAATTCTAAGTCAATCTCTCATTGCCTAGTGAAATCATGTTAGTTCTGCTGGCTGTCATGCAGCTCTACAGATGGGAAAGAGAAAGATAATTCCAACTGGAACATTACATGTAGAAAGCTTTTTATTGTGAAGTAAGTGTTTGGAATTTGCAACAAATCCTATAAAACCGCTCAGGCTTTTGATATCGAAACAGTTGTTCTTGCATTGTATGTAAAAAGGCAAAATGCCTATATAACAGTAATAAGAAGCTGACAAATTAACTACAAGAGCAGCAAAATGAAAGTACTCCCCCTTCCACGGTCAATCATTTTATTGTTTCTGAGCTGCTCAGGGCAGCCTTGCTCTGTCTCAATGATTGCAAATGTTACTCTGAACTCATTACTACAAAACTGAAGAGCTGTTCTTAATGTTGGTATATTGTGCTTTAAAACAGACATGTAAATGGCAGACAAATTCTAGTTTTCTGAATTTAATGCTGATGAGACAGAGAGACTGTGTGTGTGTGCAGTAGGATATTACCTTGTTTTTACAAAGTAAATGCTTTATGCCATTAACAGCAATGCCAAACTCTCATTATAACATTCTTTTTCTTACAGTAACTTTGAAAAATACGCCTTGGTAAAATGAGATTTGGAAAACTTTTTTCAGGGAGATGTTCTTCCTCCCTGTTGTATTGCTCTGTGCCACTGAGGCATAGCCTCAGCCACTAGCGAGTGCCATTGTATACATGTTAAAGAACTCGAAGTACCTTTAAAAATATTATATATACCTGAGCTGAAAATGAGGTCGATCATAAGAAGAAGGTTTAAGGAGAACACATTGGACGTCTGTGTTTGGGCAGGAAAGATAATAGTCCAAGTCTTATTGGGATAATCCACATTTATAAACAGAGCAAACTCACTCAAGCAGGTTGTCAAATAAAGAAAAAGCTAGAAAGGTAATTTTGTAGCACATTTACATATCATGGATGGACTTGAACTTTTTTATGTTATCTTCTGCAGTGCTTAGGATATAGTGGTGTTTGGAAATTGTAGCAGGGCGTACCTGTAAAGACCCAGAATCTTTTAGTCAACATGAAGCCAGACTAGTATTTGAATTCAGAAATGTTGCTACATTCACTTTTTCTGTTTTGTGAGTGTGTTCTTTACAGTAAATTTTGAGCCGTGAATCACTGCTGCTTGTATAAACACTATATTCAACAATTTTGCTACAATTGGAGATCAGTAAAATTTGAAGATTTATCACTGAATAGTACCAAGAAATAGTTCATATTTGACTGCTACACAAACCCTGCTGTAGCAGACCTGTTAGAACAAAGAAACGCTTCCTAATCAGACCAAGAACTGCAGATAATCGCTGCGGGCTTTGAACCAAAATCCTGGTGACTACAATACATGTGACAGAAGAAAAACCTTGAACTGCTGAGTCACATCTGCCTCAGCAAAAGAAGTAGCACAGTTGTTCAGTCAGCCATATCTTTGCCTGTTTGATCAAATTAAGATTTTAGAATGTGTATTTAAATGCAAAATGCACATAATCAAAGATATTAAAATATAAAGGTACGGGCAGAGGCACACAGATGGCAATTTCATATGTGAGGAACAGAAGAAAATTGTAATTATTATTATTAGGAACATGAAAGAAGTATCCAAATATGTAAGTAAATAAACAAAATATTTCTCCCTGAGATAGTATAGAACATCAGTTTACACCCAGTCATACTGTTGATGCTCAAACCTAAGAGGCTATTAGCCTTTCCCAGTCACTGTGAACATTTTCTTACTTAGAACAGCTTCCTGCAGAATTTTCAAACCAAACGAAACAGCCCTATGACAATGAATGAAAACCTAAAGAAAAACTGAATAACGAAAAGTAATAATAAAAAGAGAAATGTGGTACTCTATTGGCATAGTCTGAATGGATAAAAGGCAGGTCGCAAATAGCACAAAAAGAAATCTAAACTTCAATCAACAATCTTCTGTATCAAAGAGGTTTAAAAGTGGTGTCCAATTCACTTTTAGGTATCTCTCACCTTAATCATTTCAACTCTCTCTTCTTTGGCGTTCTGTAACCTAATTTCGTTGAGTCATAAGAATGTCCTTCTACAACTTATTTGGTTTTGTCTTTCACTTCCCTCATCAGTTCCCTCTGCAGTTTTGTCTGTGAGCTTTCAGCCATTCTGTCTCATTTAGCCTCTTCAAAGGCCTCCACCACAGTGTCACATCTAGTTTACTCCCATTTCTGTTTCTTCCTATTCTCTATCTAAATTTTTCTCAAGGCTTACTGTCAATCATTTCCTTTGTATTTTTTTCTACCAGCCACTTCTATCTGGAGTTCCTTACTGCACAAAATACACCTTTTGGTACAGTAACCCAATGAGTCTGGAGCATATATATTTAAGAGCATCTTAACAACTTGCAATATACTGTAATACCTGTATGTTAAAGCTTTTGCCTCATATTTCTTTTTTTTTTTTCTGATTTAGATAAGTTTCTTGGAACAGAAACAGCATTTTCCTCTGTAAGACATTTTTACTGAGAAAGTATAGCAAACTGTCAACACCCAAAAAGTAACATCCATATCCTGATGTTCTCATTCATGAAAAATCTCTCTTGCCTTCAATGGGAATTTTCCTTCCTCTTGAATTGGCTTATTTAAAAATAACATCTGATGATCTCCTAGGCTTTGGTCATAGTCATCTTTTCTGACTCTGGTTCCACTGGGTCATTATAAAAATCTTAGACTGGGTTTTTCAAAGGAGCTTAAGGATTTTAGGCGCTTAAGTCTTGCTGAACTTCAGTTGACCTCGGGCACCCAAATTTGGGGGTCTCCTTGGCAAGTTCCAGACTCAGTACTGATTTCCTGGGCTTGCCTCCTGGACTCTGAAGTTGCGCTGGGGAGCACAATTTTTGAACTGGGTTTCACTTCTGAAAAACTCACACCCTAAAAATTCCCACCATAAAAGAAGCAAGGGGCAAATGGAGATTAATCTCAGAGGAAATCAAGGCCACAGTCTTTGTGCATTTTGATTTTTTATATCACTGTACACTGAGTCATACCCAGCTAGTTCAGAGTTCATCTGCAACACAGAAGTAAAATTTAAAGCTATCGCAACCCAAAGCTAGGATTATTAACAGCTTTGAAGTACTGAAATTTGGGAAGTTTCTGAAAGATATAAAGGCGGCAACTAGATTTTGCAGCACATGCAATGCATTTAGGTAGTCTAAAAAGAAATACCTAAAAATTATCAAAAATTCTTGAAGTATCTTTTACAAGTTACTTGATAATATTGCCAAAGAAAATTAATAAAAAGGAGCTGTTTGTTTGGAGACAATTTTCTGTTTGCAGATATTTACTTACAGACATTCTGAACTATATTTTATGGTATTATCAGTTGACTGGTATAAATAAGTGACAAGCACAGCTTATTAGCATGAAATACCAAATAGCAAGAGGGGCCAAATGGGTCACCGAGTCCAGCCACCTCCAACCGAAAGCAGTCACTTCATGAAACCACGGTCAAACAAATACCAAGCTCCATATTCAAATGCCGTTATTCCTATTTCTGAACAATTATTCCCAACCTCACCTCTTTGAGAGTTAACTAGCCTTTCCTACTCAGTGGCCTACATGTGTTCATGGCTTGCATATACTCATTTGTTTTCACACCAACTTTGCCTTTTAGTTTACACTGCAGTTTTTTCTCCTCGAAGTAAAACCCCAATGTATTTATAAAGAAAGAGCTTTGTTTTCTCTCAGCCTTTTCTCTAGCATGCAACACAGGCCAAGCTGCGTTAGGAGAACTGGATGCACAGAAAGGTTACTAAGATCACAGGAAATAACAGCCTATTTTTTAATTTTTTAATATAGATCAACCTCTTGTCCTTTTTGAAATGGAAATACTGCCTTAGGGAAGTAATTGAAGGCTAGCTATAGGCACTGCTTTTTATTGATCGACCTACAGAATTAATTTCATAGCTACACAGCAAATGTTATTTGAATTATTGACTGGTCTTTTTCATGGAGTATTCTGATAATCAGGATGCGTTACCCAGTATAAAGTAGTTTAGCAGTAACAAATTACTAGTGGTGATTGTCATATCTGAGGATTTAATAATATTAAGCAACTTTATTAACTTTCACGGCTGTAGAATCAAATAATTTATTACCTCAAGTTAGAAAACAAATGTTACAAATTATTTTAAATAACAGTTGTAACCACTTAAGAAGGTGTTTGGAGACAGACAGAAATAACAGACCAGCTATTATTATGAAAGATAATAATAGTTAAAAAAGAAAGATTTTGCTTCTTGCTGAAGAATAAGATATGCCAAAGATAATCCTGGGCTCTCGCAGCTGTGGCAGTGCAAGTAGCTGACTTTGGTTGTAAACATGCATCCCAGATTCCTCCATATGGAGGAGAACACTGTTGGCATGAGCCCAGAAAAGGCATTTTCTGTACAAGCCACATCTATCAGTCCTCCACTGCCATAAGCATCTGTGGCTAAGCTGATGAGCTGATGCTAAAAACTGTTGTGAGACTTCTTAATAGCAACTGGAACTTGGGTGTGGAGAAGAACTGAACCTGTGATTTTAAATCTCTCAAGTTAGTATGACTGCAGAAGTTGAATTTATGCCTTTTTTTAAATTTTGATAGGTTAGCACCCACCTTAGCAGGAAACATTTTTAATGGTAGCAACTACATGCAAATCCATCTGAGTATATGTTGATTTTCCAAAAGTGAATTACCTGATGCAGACTGCTTATCCCCCAACTGTATCTCACTCTTCCTTTCCATAAACACTCCCAGTTTATGTGAAAAATGCACTGTAGTATTGTATAAACCTGCCTCTGTATATGCACCACACACATTCTTGAACTGTTTCTGAGACTACTTCTAAAACTTCCTTGAGCAAATTCTAGTAAAATCTTACAAATAAATACATTAAGAAATTGTCAAACAGTTCTCAGGAAGTGCCACATGTAAATGCTTAATATACTAAGAAATCTTTAAGAAATTAATACATGAGATGATTGATGTTTCCATATTCTTCATAAACTTACAACTCCCAATTTTTTTCCTAGATCGCCCAGGTTTGTTAAATGTGAAGCCCATTGAAGATATACAAGACAATCTGTTGCAAGCTTTGGAGCTCCAGCTGAAGCTGAATCATCCAGAATCATCACAGCTGTTTGCAAAGTTGCTTCAGAAAATGACGGACCTCAGACAGATTGTAACAGAACATGTGCAGCTGTTGCAAATAATAAAGAAAACGGAGACAGATATGAGTCTTCATCCACTCCTACAAGAAATCTATAAAGACTTATATTAATGACCATAGTAGTTCTAATCCGCTGACATAATGTATGTTCTTCAGATTGCACTATTTCTTTGAGGGAAAACTTTGCATACCTAAGAAATTACTGTGAAACAGCATTTAAAAAGAGAGAGCTTAGTATAGTAGATCTATTTTATGCATATTGTTTATAAAGACACATTTACAATTTACTTTTAATATTAAAAATATCTATATCATGAAATTGTTGGCAGTATTTTCAGAATTAATTTTTTAAACTATCTTATTTCTTAAAATTGCTTGTCCAGTATGATTGATGCTTCACTGAAGTTGGTTAAGCATGCAGTTAAATTTTCAACTTAAAAATAAAAATCTTTCTCCTTAAACATTTCTAGGGAAACGTTTTAAGTATTATGTTTGATTTTGTGCTCCCAAGGCAGCAGTAAATAACACTAATGTCGAATCACAGATTAGTGTAACCTCCTATGAGAGCTTAAAAGAAATGTCAGGTCTGACAATATTTGTGCCTACCATAATACGATTTTACACTGATAGAGATCTGTAAAGAGGTCTTGGTGTAAGAATTAGGCCCATCATTTGTGGGCAAACCCACAAACTAGGTGCCATGTGAAGAATTAATGAAGTAAGGGATGTGCACTGTCCATCGCTCTCAGGACGCAGAGCCGTTTCGATTGCTGGTGCCAGTCGGAGGCGGGTGGAGCAGCAGCGTGCACTGTGGGCTGTCCCCCCATGGCACACGCCACAGCAGCAAGTGCTAATGCACCTTTCAGTCACTGGTGAGTCTGTAGTAGGAATAGGTGTGTACAAACCACTGGGCCTGAGACCTTCCCAAATATATGATGAGCTATTGTTGAACAACATATTCTGTCAAAAATGTGATGGAAAATTGGAATAGTGTGACTCCTCCTAAAGAAAATCAAGGTTTGAATTCATTCTTTGAAACATAAACCTCTAATGGAAAGCCTACTGTGTTAGTTTGGCTTGAGCTATCGTTGTTTATCACTGGGAACAAGAATGCTTGGAGATGTTCACTGCTGTTAAGATTGTTAATTTTCTTATATTTGTTGCCCTCTAATGTCACCTAAGATTTCCACTGGGAGCAAAGCATAGGAGAGTGAACAAATTTAACAGAAGGTAGATTTACTTACACTAGCTTCTCTTGGTATTCTCAGTACTGTTGTGAGATTCCCTTAGATTCACCTTCGGCCTGCCCACATTGACTGTTTGTGAATGTGACCCGGGTGTGATCCTGAAGAGGGAATGCTGGGGGGAAAAAAGCCACTAATTGTAACACATATATTGAAGTAAGGAGCGGTCCTCAGTTGAATATCCTTAGTTTTCTCATCATGTCCACATTTTATTTATGTAGCAAAAAGTGTTCCTTAAACTTAGTGAGACAAGTTCAGTGGTGATATATAAGTGGATCAAGAGGTAATGTAAGTGTATACATGAGTAGGCTGGATTTTCAGGGAGTATAAATTGGCCTTACTCCCAGTGTAGACCTTGAAAATCTAAGCTGGTGCAAATTATGCAATAAAGAGGCTGATGGAGGCAAATATTAAAATAAATCCTTAAGCTCATGCCTTCCACACCTGAAAATGTTTCCCACTACTTATTTCAGATAACCTCTGGGCCTCTGGTCAGTAGTAAGCATTATGCCCACCAGGAAGTTTGGAGAATTGGATCATTCAGCCTCAAGGTTTAAAACCCACAGATGAAATTGCACTGAGATGAAGTCAGTATGAGGCTGAAGTGAACAGCTTTGATCTTCACTAAGTTTGCAATGAGATCATTTCAGGTAACTTAGAAATGATTGCCCTAAAGCAAACAGAATATTGCATGTTAATGCTCAAAATTGCATGTTTCCTGCACGTGTCGAGATAGGCACATTGTGCTAGCTGAGCATCGGATTCTGACAGGAGTTGCACACACACTAATTTGTGGGTGTTACAATTCAAAAGAAAATATTCTCTCTCTCTCCTCGTTTTAAGTTATTTTCCACTGGACACTAGCCATTTGAAGTGTTGCCATCTATCACTTAGTGGGAGAACCTCTATTTAATTGCAGAGTTCATCCCCTCCTGTAGGAGGACATATCAAAGATTAACTGGCACTGAGACGGGCCACAGCTCCAACACTGAATTCTTCTTATAGCAACACACAGCGAAAACGATTAATCTGAGCCTGCATTTCTTATACAATCCAATTTTACATTGGCTTCACTAGAAATGAGAGTTCAAAATTAGTTTTCAATAAAGGAGAATTTTAGGGCATATTCTTATGTAAGTCATATTAAAAATCATTTGAAAAGGACAGGGACATTGCACTGGCAATGAAATTAAGTTCATGACTTTGTTACAGGGAAAAACTTCTGGGTAACCAAGAAGCACGTTAACTCAAAGAGCTTAATTCTACTTTATTGCAAGGGGTAATATTTTTGAAAGTAGCAGTTTAGCAGTGACGGTGTTTAAGCCATTCAGTCCAATGTGGATGTATACAATCCATATATTTTGAGAGTGGTGGCATAATGGTAGTGATGATAGTCCAAGGATAAAAGAGAAGACAGTTGTGCAGGAACAGGTGTTACCCTTTATTAGGATGAAGGGACTGAATGCCCAAAAGCCAATACTTTTCTTTCAACTATATAAGCTGCTTTAATAAAATATATTGTTCTCCCTACATCCTGTCTTCTCTTACATTTTGATAGTTATTCATCATGTTTTCCTCAAGCCATGGAAAATGTTAATTTTTATGTGAATTACTAATCACAGAAATGTTCTGATTCTAAACGGTTACATCATGGTTAGGAAGTTTTGCCTAAAATACTTTTCTACAGGAATAGGTCTTAAGGGAAAAATGTTCACTTAATGGACAATTGCTATGTACTAATTTAGAACAAATGACTGTTATGAGGATATGAAAACATTTTCTCAAAAAATAGCATTTTCTCTTGTGAATTATATTCAGAATTTTGATCTAATTGTAAATGCTTTCTGTTTCTATGGGACTTTATTTATTAAAAACAAAAAAAACTTGCTAATGGGAGTTTCTAAGTAGGTTGTAATATTTTCAGACTCTCTAGAGTTTTGGTTAGAATGGACTATGCCATAAATGAACAATTTGGGTTTTGATCTTCAGCGCTACTAAAAGCATTTAACAACTCAAAAATAGAAACAGTCAGCTAGTATATGCCTTCCTTTGAAGAACTTCATTTTGCATGTGTTTTACTGTCCTTCCTTAGCCATCTGTTCACTACATCAGAACACCTTCAGAGACGATGTGCTGAGTGGGATACTGCTACATTCCCACAGGTTTTAAAACCTCTGAGCTGTTATTCTGTCTTGTATTTTACACTGATCTGCTTTTTCAGTAGAAAAACGCTGGAGGTAAATCATGGCCAGAGAAGGTCATTTGGTCTACCTGCACATAACCAGCAACTATCTGCCTACTTCCCTCACCATGTCAAGCATCAACTAGACATCAAAATGTTTCTTGTAGAAGCTCAAAGGCCTCTCTTTAATAGGAAAAATGACCTCCTTCAGACAAAGTTCATTGGTGACTGCTTCTACAGTAAATATTGCTGTGAGTGGCCTCAAATGAAAATTTAGATGAGAGAAAAACATTTCCAGCATTGCCATTATTATAGCAAAGGCAGCTGGCACGAATTTAATCACTGTTTGCGTAACAGCAATGAAAACCTGTTTATCCTACTAATGCAGGTAACTAACTGCCTTTCAGTGCTGCACAAAAGGAAGCAGCCGAGTTGTGTGTTCCTAACATAAGCTCTTCCTAACAGAGGCAGCCCTTCAGCAGTCTAGAATACTGAAGCCTAGAAAATGGACTTCCTGATAATCGTTGTCATGACTTGCGTTACAAAGCTTGTGTTACAAGTGCCACAGGCCTGCCCTGCCCTTTTACTTTAGCGTACATGCTCTGGGTTTCTATTCACCACTGGTACAGTTAAGCCCTGGGGGATCAGGATTTAATGTTTGATTTGCAATTGTAAACTCTGTCTTGAAGTTGAGTATATTTTAATGGGACTTCTTCCTTTTAAATAAGAGGTAATATCTCTCCCTCAAATGCACGTAACATCAACTTTGTAAACATAAGCAATACAAAGCTGCAGCTAGAGCTTTATAGAAGGAGGAAAACAAAAATGAGGGGGGAAAACCCCCAACAAACTAGCCTTCTGAATCAGCAGCTCAATCATACACCTGTCAAATGCTTCAGGTTGGAAAAAAAAAATGTGTGCCTCATCTTAAATCCCTTTCCAACTGCCTTGCCTACGGTGGTTAAAAATCAGCCGCATAGGTGTGTCTCCAACTAAACGAATACAGCAATATACTTTCACACTTGCCAGCACTAACTAGCCCTGAAACGTTGATACTTGTAGGAAAAACAACTTCTGAAATTCTGATTTTTCATTTTGATATGCAGGATATAGATATGAAATTAGAGTGGCAAAGCAGCACATCTTAAATATTGCTCACTGGCTTTAAGAAAACAATCCATAGCCAGTGACTGACCCAACAACAAAAGGAAGTAAGGAAAAGATTCCAAGACTTCAGATGCAATATAATATTATTATGGGGGGGGTGTGCGCACACATAAGCAAGGACATACATGACATTCATTTATAGTATGGCTCCTAACCAGAAACCATTACTAGTAATCTGTGGGTGGAAGAACTCCAGATAGTAAAAAATAACTGCTACTTGTTACCTTTTTACTCATACATTCTGAGAGTTACCTCAAAATACATACCACTCGTTTTCCCGTATAAAAAGAATATTTAGATAAAAGTATTTTTGCTTCTGATCAACCTGCCTTGCCATCTGGCCCTCTATTTCATCAGTCCTCTTTTGCCACACCCCTACTTTCCAGACACAAACTCAGCTGGGTTTCTCCTCAGTATGCGAGCTGCTGTTTGATATACGTTTCCTCACGTTTCAGTGTTGAGCTGGAGGCGCGTATGAGCAACTGCAACTCAGGACGTGGAGACAGCGTAGCTTCACTACGTCTGCTCCTTCATCAGATCTGGCAAATAAGTCCTCTGTTTCAAGGGCTATACAGAGTATCCCTGTTATGGTACCGCAGTCTCTGGACCTTCGTGTTCTGTATAAAAACTGCACGCTTGCGAAGATATCAACTCTTCTTCCCAACACGCACAGTATGTAATCTTGGAGACATATCCTAATCATACTTATTTGTATGCAAGGC